GCTGCTGCGTACCTGGGGGTAAGGACAGACAGAAGAGGCGAGAGAAAAGGAGATGGAAGGATGAGGAGAGACAGAGAGGGGTGAGAGGAAAAGAAGAAAAAAAAATTATCGGTCCGGTTCCTGGACACACTGCCACTTGGTCCTCAACTGGCTGAGAGGCTCTCACTCGCGGTGCCATGCGATGGTACTGGACATCTTTGGTGGATGGCCCACCTCTCCTCTGCCTCCTGGCGGATGGCGATAGCTCCTCCTGTTGAGGGCAGCGAGTCCCCTGTTTCCTGCTCCTCCCCAATCATGGCGGACAGCAGCAGGCTCCAGCCTCCTAGCGAATGGGGCCGACTCCTCCGCTCCCTCTCGGACGGCAGCCACCCTTCCTCGACCCAGGAGAGCGGCAGCGAGCTCTCCGTCCCACCACGTCTTCCATCGTTCCAGCACCACCGCCTCGGGCAGCCACCGGCGGTCTCTCCGCTTGTTCCTGCTGCCCGATTTCCTCAGCACCACAACCCCCCTCAGCAGCGTTACAGCAAAAAGTAATATACTACTGTAATACCATTACTTTTGTAATGCGTTACTCCCAACACTGGAAATAAGCCCCATATAACATGCATGAATCACCTTGTAGCAGATCTATACAGGTGGAGCTGGGGAAGGTGGAGGGTTTCTGTAGCAAGCTGCAACTGCTACAGCAAACACTAGTCATATATTTGAGTGTTGAGCAGCGAACTCATTGGCTACAGATACAGGAGATAACCAATCAGCTGTGCCATGTGATAATGATGTTATTAGGTCAGATTGAGTTAGACCTATCGGACTGCGCCATCTAGAGTTTCATGCAAGAACTCTGTATGTGTGTGCGTATTTACATATTGTTTAAACAATTGTAAAACTGTACACATGTATTTAACTTTTTTCATCACAACTCTCTCATAGTATCCCCAGGCCATCTTTGTTGTTAAGCTCTGAGAAACAAATGAGGTTCATTTGACAGAGTAAGGGTATAGCACTGCAAAATGAAGCAGATAACACAGCTCAGATAATTTGATCTCGGAAGAATTTGATGAAAGATGTTGGAGTTTATATTTTGGCAAATTCGACGATATATATATATATATATATATATATATATATATATATAATGTATATGTCTTGTGCTTGATTTGTTAGTATTTGCTGCTATTTGGCCCCATTCAAAACCTTTAAAGCTGTCAATCACATTTACCTTATGAGAATCCACAGCCTTCCTAAACGCCTGGACCTTCTTGCCTATGTCTGTGATTTTCTGAGTGAAATCCCTCTTTTTTATTTTCAGTTCCTCCTATGGGTGAATTTGTAATAAATAAGAATAATTTGCTTGAGTGACTTATGAAGTAATAGCAATATATGGTAACACTTTATTTTGATATTCCAGTTAGACATTCTGCTAACTATAAGTAACTTTGCAACTACTGCTTAATATATGCTAACACTTTATTTTGATGGTCCACCAATAGATCCTAATGACTGTACACAACTTTGCAAACATGTCAACTTATTCTAACCCTAACAATAACATGGTCTATTATTAACAGTCTATTGAGAGTTAGTTGAAAGGAACTTACACACTTCTTGTGCTTAAAATTATTGAGCTATCTCTGCTCATAGGGGGAAAAAATGTGGTCTGGTACTGTATTATTTCATGGAAATATCACTACTTAATACATTTAGTTATTTTTTATTTTTTGATATTTTGTGTTTATATTTTGGCCTATATTCACTATATAACAAAGTCTTTTGTACAGTGCCTTGTGAAAGTATTCATACCCCTTTTTTCACGTTTTGTTATATTGCTGCCTTATGCTAAATTGCTTTAAAGTACTTTTTTCCACATCAATCTATACGCCATACACCATAATGGTAGAGCAATTGTTTTTTAACATCTTCACAAATTTATTAAAAATAAAAAACTTAAATGATTCCATTGCGTAAGTATTCATACCCTTATCTGGGACAGTTGAAATTTAGCTCAGGAGCATTCATATTGCTTGTAGATGTCACTACACTTCGAGTGAAGTTAACCTGTGGCAAATTCAATTGAATGGATATTATCTGGAAAGGCACACACATCTTAATAAAAGGTCTAACAGCTGATAATGCATATCACAGCAAAAACCAAGCCCTGAGGTCAAAAGAACTGCCTGTAGAGCTCAGAGATAGATTTGCGTCAAGCCACACATCTGGGGTGGAGTTAAGGAAAAAAAT